TATGGGCTTATCTTTATTAAAGAGCCTTTTTTTTTTTTTAATGAATATCTTTATTAAAATTAAATAATAATAATGTTCTTTTTTAGTTTTTAGTTGTGGAAAACAGTATTTTAAAATTTAATATTACATTATCTATTAATAAAACTATATGTGTTATTAAGATAAAAGTGTTTAGAAATTAGTGTGATAATTAAAAAAATTTTTAAAAAAGTAGAGATATTTTTTTTGGTTATTTTATCTAATTAATTAAGACTAAGAGACATAAATAGGTAGATGCATGATATATTATTGATATAATAATAATAATTATTATTATTATTATCGCTATTATGAATTGGGATTAATTTTAATTAATTTGATTAATAGATTAATGTCCTGCAAGAAGAAACTCAACACGTATATACTGAAATTCCCCAGTAGGTGTGAATGAATAATTCATGTGTGTATGATTCTATACATGTGTGTGTGTGTGTGTGTGTGTGTGTGTGTATGTATTACGAGGCAAAGATTGATCCATGTGCATGGCCGCCATGAATTAGAAAAGAAAAGAAAATGTTAGCCAACTAATCCAAGAACAGGTAAAAAAAAAGGATATTTTTGTTTTTTCCCACTGATTATAAGAGAAAAAAAAAATAAACTATGGATTAAATCAAAAATGAATTCACCATCTTTAGGGAATATGTTAATCTAAAAATTGCTTTAGTATGAAATATGTATGATCATGTATTTGTATTAGATATATACTGCATTTTCAACTGCAGAAATTACTGGTCAAATAAAAAATATGAAGGTAATAAAAGAGATACCAGTTCCAACACTGATACAATTGATGGGCGATCACATGTTATAAATTAAGAAAAGCCAATAACCTAGCGGCGGTGCGTTCGGTTGCCCAGAAAACAAGGGAGAAAAAAAAAACTCAATTTTAGGCTTTATGTTGGCGGCTATGGAAGATGCATGCATCTTTGTCCTCTTAGCAGATCGTGTAAGCAGAGTTTCAAAGCAATAATATCGCATACAGAGTCTGAAAACCTGACATGTTAGTGTACTGAACATGATTCTATATTATAATATGTGTGTGTGTGTGTGTGTGTGTGTGTGTGTGTGTGTATATATATGCTTGTTAACAAGACAATCATCATCGGACATGGTGAAAACCTCGGTTAGTTCATGAATGTCAGAAAAAGAGTGCAACCCAATCTTATACCTTATCCCAACATCAATATCCAATTTGTCCATTATTGTTTTCTCAAGCATTGACACTCCAGTTATGCCTTAAAATCCAAAGGTTTCCTCTCAAGAAACATTGCCTATAACCCTATATAGTTCTGTATGTATAGGAATATCAATATTGTATTATACATATTAAAAAATACATGATTAATTGAGCTGGAATGAGAAGATTAAGGACCCCCAAATTCACATTATCCATGCAATGAACTTGGAAAGTTGGGGGAAGGAATAATCCAGGGTGTTTTGATGAGATAATGGTGTGATGAAAGGTGGTGGGATTTTAGGGTAGGGGGAGAGGAGGGTGATGGCAAAGAATCATGTGGGTGCATGTGCATTGAGTTGGAGAACATGTCCTACACATTTAGGGACACGTGTCATTTTCTTATTCATTTATCCAATTCCATGGGAGCCCTTCTCTTAAACTTGTCTACCATAAAATAATCTCAATTATCCTTATTACCCACCAAACCTCCACCTCAAAATGCCTTTATAAAGGCCACCATAATCAATTGGAAGGTACCCTACAATTCTGCGGCACTTGCAACAAGATCAAAAGGCAAAAGAACCCAGTTGAGCTCATTAGAAAGTACTAATGGGAGTTTCTGCAGATTACCCTCTTCTTCTCTCTCTGGGTTTGAAGGGCATCCGAGCAAAAAAAAAGGGTGTGTCCCAGGTTGGGTCACTTTGGGAAAGTCATGGGAAGAGAAGATCAAGGCAAATGAAGGGGAATATTGGAGGGTATAAGAGAAGATCTAGAAGGGTTTTGATGAAGAGAAGGAGGAGAGTTGTAGAAGGTTCAAGAAGGCGTGTGAATGCAATTGAAGAAAGAACGAGGATACTGAAGAAATTGATTCCAAACAGCACCAAATCCATGGGGTTGGAAGGGCTTTTCAGAGAAACAGCCGATTATATATTGTCTTTACAGATGAGAGTTCAGGTCATGCAGATTATGGTTAAGGTTTTGGGTGGTAATTGAAAATTGAGTGATATAAATAATTCATTTGTAAATGCAGTTTTTTTTTTTAATTTTAATTAAAAGAAAATTGGGTTTTAAATTTTGATTAATTTTATGTGGTATTTTTAATTAGTCAAATAGTAGGATTAATTTCTATTTAAGTCCAGAAAATTTGTGTTATTGGGCTGCTTAGGTTTTTAACAACAGCTTTGGGCTTATAATTTGTGTGGAAATTATAATTTAAAATTTTTGTTGGTTGTAAGTATACACCATTTATGCTTCTTTTTTTTTTTCTACTTTTTGGGTAATTTTTTATAATAAAATTTTTAATTTTTAAAATTTTAAAATATATAATTTAATTATTATTTAATAAATATTGGTGTCACCTCAATCTAATCCAGAAACATTAAATATTTAATTATCTCACCCAAACAGCAACCAATGAACAAAAATCAAACAATTATATGAACGGAATAATAAATAGAAAAAGAAATTTTCAAAAATTCAAACTAAGTTATCTCCATTAGCCAATTTTTACTACTCTAATTATAAGCTTATAAATAATCCAAATATTTCAAAAAGAAATTTGAATTATAATTAAATTATAAATTATGAAATATAATTTAATTTTAATATTTAAAAAATTCCTCAATAATCTCTCAAAAATTAAAAATTACAAATGTTGTCTGATTCAAATTGGAGAAATATATATATATATATATATATTGTTTTGCAAATAAAGAACAAATACAAATTGTGGGTCCATTTTATAGGCTTCTGTTTCTTAATTCCAGTTTGTGATGGTATTGGGCCCCGGCTGGGCTGATAAGAACACAGAGGAATAATATAGGAAGATTTTAAAAATTGAATATATATGTATATATATATATATAACTAAAAATTTGAATATGCGAAAAATTAAAATAATTTTTTTTGGATCTAGAAGGCAGTCAAATACTTAGAATTAACACTTAAATTAATTTGAAATTAAATTAAAAAGATTTGACTCCCAAAAGTGACTCAAAAATAAAAATAAAAATAAAAGGAAATGTGGGTCAGGGAGAAGAAATTTGTATTGGCTGGGAAAAAGGGAAACTGAATTATGTTGTTAATTTCCTCATGATATCATATCACTGTTTCAAGATTTGGAACATTTCCCATCTACTAAAAAATGTCAAGATGGAGAAAATAAAAATAAGAATCAATTTCTTATAAATTATGTTTTTTTTTTTTGTATATATATATACACACACACACACACAATATGTAAAGTCCTTATATATATATATATTATTTTTAAATGATTTATTGAATTTTTCTAAATAAAAATTCAGACACTTATCTCAATTTTTTTAAATAACGGGTAATTAAGTTTACTTTAAAAAAATATATTTAATTTAACTATTTATCTATTTTTTGAATACGTATATTTTTTTATTGCAATAAAATACGATAATTAATTAATTAATTAATTTTCCTAATTTTATTTCAATAGTAATGTGAAAACTCAAAAAAAAAAAAAAAAAACAATGTGTAATATAAGATTTGAAGAATAAAAAGAAAAAAAGTTGGGGCACGTTTTATTCCTTTTGAATGCAATGGACCGACATAATTTTAGTCAGCACATGAGGGGATGAGTTGCCGGTGTCGGCAGCAGGCAGCAAGCAGCAAGCAGCAACCTGGTACTTTGTTTGGGACAAATCTAGGAGTTGTAGTTTGGATTTGGGCCTCTACCATACCACGTTTTGGTTTGTTTGTATTTTCTTTTTCTTTGAATTCAAATTTAAATTTGATTTTTTATACCTCAATTTAAATTCTCATACCTATTCAAAATTTTATTAGTAACATAAAATTCTAAATTTTATAACTTAATTTATTAAATTAACTTTTTTTTTAATGTTAATTTGTTTAATTCGGGTAGTACCAATAAGTTTTTTTTTTTTTTAAATAAAAAAATTCGATATAATTTTTGAAAAAAATTTTATAAAAAAAAAGCGATTAATTTCTTGTCTAATCTAATACAATGTGCCACTTATTCCTCAATTAATTTTGTTTGTGAGACAATTTAAATTAACAAAAATAGCAAAAACCAAAATTATTGATGGTTCCTTTCAACACTTGTGTGTAATAATTAATTAAATAATATATTAAAAAAGTTTATGTACGATTGAAAAAAAAAAAATTCAAATTGATGGAAACATTATTTTACATCTTAAATATAATTTGAAAATTCAAATTTGTTCCGTATATTATTAACATGGTTTATTAATGTAAAATGTGGATTCATCTTCGACCACATAAATATATTTAAAAATACAGATTATATATATTTGAAGTGTGTTGAAGAATATAAGAAAATTTTGGATGTATTATCTCTTAATTATATCCTAAAATCTTTTTTATTATAAAATTAAGAAGATTAATTAATTAATTAATTAATAATAAAGCACGACCATTAAATTTGTACCTCAATTTTGTCTTTTCCTCTCTCTCTCTGACTCCTTCCCCCACATGTATTTTTTACACACAAAATTAAAAGCTTCGTGTTCAACCTGCCTAAATTCCCAACCCTCCTATTATCTTTTCTTTGACTTTGACTACCCCATGTGCCACCCTCTCTCCCTCCCTCCTAATTAACTTTTTAATTTCTTTATTATAGTCAATATATACATTCCGTATATGATCACACAAAATATTATAACTATAATTTTTAATTAGTGCCCTTTTGTTATATTTATAATTAATGTATTATAATCTTAAATTCACATTAATGCTATCTTTTTTCTCACTCACGAGTCAGATTCTTCGAAAAAAAAAAATTAAATTATGCGTCATGATTATCAATTGGTTTCATTTAATTAACGTCAACTCTCTAGAAGCTTGATTACTAATCATTAAATAAATATTGAACAGTTCAATATATGTATTAAGAATTTATTATCTTTTAATTAAATTAACCAATCTGGTTAATTATTTATTATGAGTATTAGCATTGACTCTTATCCACTAACACTATCATTATATTACGCTTGATATTATTGAACATTTCATTCAAATTATGATAGTTAATTAGCTCGTAATTATTTAAACAAAATTTCATTTTTAAGAAAAATTATATTAATTTTTATTATATATATATATATTGAATTAACAGGTTACCACCCAAACACCACCTTATTATCTACATGTTTTAATTTTGAATTTTACGTTTATGATCCGCCAATAATTGTCGCTCTAAGTGTAATTATCTATACGTACGATACAATATAATATAATAATATATATATTTAATTATTATTGTCTTTTTTATCCCCTCAATAATTTGGATCGCAAGTTGGTTTTGTTGCGATGGGGATGGGAGATATCGTGACGCCCGGATTCTTTCCCTCTCTTTTTTTTTTTTTTTAAATAATTAAATTTAGTGAAAATTTCATTCACCTAATTTCCTAATTAATTACTAAACAAATAATTAAAAACCCAGCTGTCGTTAACCCTATGATTAATTTGCTTAATAATTATTACTTACAATAATAAAAAATTCGCATATCACTTTCAAATTAGGAATTCTTTCCTTTTTTTTTTTTTTTGAATTTGCTTGGTCTCCATGTTACTAACACAAACCTAACTAAATTTCAAAACATACACCTAGCTACCTAGGGTGTATAGAATTTAATCCTACCATAATTCATTAGGATATAAACTTTGAGTTCGTTTATAATTTTATTTTAATCTTATAATGTAACAATTTGATATAATTTTTACGTGCATGTTGGGAAATCCAACAATATCCAATTTAGTCGA